TCTCATTCTCTCTCTCTCAAATAAATAAATTAAAAAAAAAAAAAAAAAAAGACTGTGTCTACTGTAGGCCTTGATTTTGATGTAACATTTTGATGGTACACACTGACTTGCTATTAGAGTAGATAGAGGTATTTTAAAGCCACCAGTACTGTTCTCTACTGATCCAAAGAACACCATATAACACTGAGATTCCATTTTGTTCTCTGGAGATATCTCCTCTTTTTTCAGTTCTTAGTTCTCCTTCAACATCTTACCAAGTCTCCCCACTTCCTTCAGAAATGCTATAACCCCCCCCCCCCTTTATAGAATTCTCCCTATGGTCAGCTCTCCTAGATAACTTCTAGTTCCACTCCGTCTAAGAGATAACTTTCCCCAGGTCTCTGATCTGCTCCACTCTGTCCTTGGCTGCCATCCTGGGACACCCTTCACCATGACCCTGGGAATTCCCTTTGCCTTCCATGTTGGATCCCATTTCCTCCTCTTTCTTGCTCTACACCTCTTCACTCTGGTAAAAAAATATTTATTTTAGTAATGGCTCGAGACAGGGAGCATAGGAAATAGAACTTTGCCTGTCAGAATATATTTCTACCCTCACTCTCAGGAATGATCTGGCTGATGACAGAATTCTTGACTGGAAGTCATTTTCCCCTAGACTTTTGAAGAGTAGGATCATGGCTTCCAGCACTGCTGAGAAGCCCAATAATAATGTAATTTCTGAACTTTCCTGTTTCTTCTTCTGACGGCTTGTAAGACCTTCTCCTTGCCCCTGGTGTTCTGATTTCATGAAGAAACTCTGCCTCCATGTGAGCCGTCTTTCATTTGCTGTATCACACACTGTGCTTTTGAGCTTGGAAGTCTGTCCCTTCAATCCTGAGATAAACTGTTTCCTCTCTCGGATCATTTCCTTCCCACTATCTTCTGTTTTCTTTCTGGTACTTCTTTTAGTCTGATGTTGCCAGGACTCCCTGATACACCACTGAATTTTCTTTCTTAGTGTCTACTTCTTGGTCTGCTCTCTGCTTCTACCTTGTGCCCCACAGTTTAGTCTAAATGCTGCAGCCAGTGATCCTGTTGAAAGGTAAGGCAATCATGTTACGCCTTAGTTTTAAATCCTCCAATGGCTTCCCTTGGAGTAAAAGTCAAAGTTCTTAACATGACCTACAAAGGTTCTATGTGATTTGGCCCCCATCCTCTGACTTTATGTCCCAATACTCCTTCCCCTGCTCACCCTGCTCCAGTCACAACAGTGACCTTGTTCAAAATACTCCCTAACGCACACACTTTAATTAAAAAACTAATTACCTCAGTAAAAATAGAGTCGACATATACATGAAAAATTAACGGGCAGCAGAAAATAGTTTGGTTCGTCTATGAACATATTATACATAGAAAGTTTCATCAGCAGCATCTCAGGAAACAAGAACTTAAAGCCAGGAGACTTCATTTACTTCATGTTAAAAACTTAATTAGAAAAGGGAAAGGCAGGGGTGTCTGGGTAGCTCAGTTGGTTAAGCGTCCGACTCTTGACTTCAGCTCAGGTCATATCTATGGTGGTGGGATCAAGCCTGCACCGGGCTCCACGCTCAGTGGGGAGTCTGCTGGAGATTCTCTCCCTCTCCCACTGCCCCACCCCCAACCCCCGCTTGAGCTCTCTCTAAAAAAAGAAAAGGAAAGGGCATTTATTTCTCATAAAGTAATCCTCTATTTCTACAATTTCTACTCCAGTCCTAACACAGTGCCTGAGAACATTCTGTTAGCAGAGAACAGCACTCCCTATACCAGAACTTGGTCAATGGTAACTGGGAGGTAGAAGTCATGGGAAAAACTACCAGCCTTAATCTTTTGGTCTCGAACTACCCAAAAAATAAGACATGAGGGCTTGGAGACACGTATGAAATGTAGTAATAGCAATAAGAATAACAATATTCACAATCTTTTATCCAAAGGTACTAAGGTACGTGTGTGTATGCATGTATTAACGTATGTTTATGTGTGTATACATGTATCTCAGTAATACTCAGCTTCTTCTGTGTATCAGTGCCAGCCGGTAAGCTGGTAACAATCTGCAACAAGGTAATACAGAAGCGAAGAGTGTTCAGAAACTTTTCTAACACTGGGACACTGCTATGACATTGTTATTGTATTTTACGGGAGTATCTGTCTGTGGTGGATTGCAGAAAAACAAAGCTGATCTTTCAAGTTTGAGAAGCAATGTTGTATATTATACCAGCTCACAGGCATCTGGGCAGCACAATGTAATCAAGCACATTAGTATTTTTGTGGCAAAACACAAATATTCATATTTAGTCGTATAAACAGCTTATCCAATGGAAGTCAGATTTCACACTAAAATTTTCACACAGACCAAGAAACAAAAAAACACCTTTGATTTTCACAGCTTTTTTGGACTTTAGAATTCAAGGAAATGTGGACAAGGATACTAAACATGCTAATAGCGGCAATTATTTATATAACGGCTACTATATGTCGGACAACAGTCTAAGCATTTACATATTGATTCATTTAATCCTCTCAACTGTATGAGGTCCGTATTATTATCAAGCTTATTTTACAGCCAAGGAAACCGAAGCAAGTTATTTTAACTAAGGCAATCTGGCTTCAGGATTTGTGCTGTATGTTAACCAAAGAAGTGAAAGGCACACTCTTCTGGGGCCATTTGGTGTGGGCACAAAGATGTCACCCATATTACCAGACCGCACACATGCCACTCTAATACTACCCAATCTAGTACCTAATGTCAAAAATCACGACTTGGGAGTCATCAAGGCCAATTTATATTTTATATACTTTGTTTATGAAAGTATGTTTTATAATGTGTTCCATTCAAAATTGATAAAAAAAAAAAAAAAAGAAAATGGTAATGTAAGGAGAGCAAACTCAGTTCTCCACAAAGTTACGTGATGAAAGCAGCTAAAATACTCCACAGAGCTCCAGATGGCTAAAACTGTATCATTTAAAAATTCTTATTCCATCCATAAACCATTTCAGACTAAGGATTTACGTGTCGATTTTAAGAATAAATTATCAAAAAAGCAGCCATATGGAAAATATTGCTGAGTTAATTATTTTTAACAACTTACTATACAAAATATAGTTTAAGACCTTCCAAAAATATTCTAGCCCAAAGACAGAAGAGAGAAAGAATGTCCTTCTGATACAACCGACCTGACACGGTGGCTTTCCCAGAGATGGGGTTTGGCGTGGGCACCAGGGACGTGGCGCTGATGACGGAGGGAGCAGCGGCCTTGCAGGCTGCCACGGGGGCCTGGCTCACACACACTGCTTGCTGCCCGGAAGTTTTCACAACAGAACCGATAGCAGACGATGAACTGGGAGTTGTTCCTTCCGACTGCTCACACATAGGGCCCAAAATAGTAGAAATTAAGAAGAAAGCAGTGTAACTTACTTAGAACAGTGATTGCCATGTAGTATATTCAATAAATATTCTCTATTAGCTATTATTTTTACCTACCTATTAAATGCCATGCCATTTAAAAAGACTGCCTCTCTTGTTCAGTGTTTCCTACATTTTTAGAGTTCATGGACCAGAAAAAATTTTCAGTTTTAAAACAAGGAGGTATCAGAGGGTTACCACATTAAAAACAACAACAACAAAACCCAAAACCCCTCACCACCTATTTATAAAAGGATGTTTCAACACCAAAAAAAGGACATAATCTCAGAATACAAAAGTGAAATAAAACGAGTTTTATTAAAAACTCAATCTAATGTTTTAACATCTGTCTCATTCAACCAAGCAACATCTACCACACGCAGGCACAGTGTTAAACGCTAGGGCCCAGAGGTAACAGCCCTCCAGGAGGACAGGGCTACCAAACTGTGAGGAGAGCTACCACAGGTGCAGGCACAAGGCACTACTAAGACTGACGGGAAAATTACTATTTCTGTCTAGGGATGCGGAGGGGAGAGTACCGGGGAAAGCTTCATGTACAAATATGGCACTTCAGGGGAATCTTCAAGATTTAAGACAGGGAAAGGGAGAGACAAAAGAATGTTTCTTGGCAGAAGTTGGCAGAAGACAGACGGCAGAAAGAGAGGCATGAAAGAACATGATATGTTCAAGGAACTACAAAGAAGAGTGGTATGAATAGGCATATGAAAGGCAGTAGGAGGAGATAAAGCCTGAAAAGCAAGCAAAATCGGCTTCAAAAAGACCTTAGGGTGCCAAGACAATTCAAGGGGGAAAGAGGCTTCAAATGTTGCTGGACTAACTGGCTATCTACATACAAAAGAATGAAGTTTGGTCCCTACCTCACACCATATAATAATTAACTCAAAATGGAGCAAAGACCTACATGTAAGAGCTAAAACTATAAAACTCTTAGAAGAAAATATTGGCTTAAATTTTGTAATTTTGGATTAGGCAATGGTTTCTTAGCTATATCAAAAGCATAAGCAATAAGAGAAAAATAAATAAACTGGACTTCATCAAAATTAAAAAATTTTGTGGTTTTCAAAGAGTACCTTCAAGAAAGTGAATAGACAGCCCACAGAGTGGGAGAAAATTTTTGCAAATCTCATAAGAGATTCATATCTAGAATATCTAAAGAACACTTAAAACTCAATAATAAAAAAATAATCCAACTAAATAATGGGCAGAGGATCTGAAGAGACATTTCTCCCAAAAAGATACAGAAATGGACAATAAGTACATGAAAAGATGCTCAGTATCATTAGCTAACAGGGAAATGCAAGTCAAAACCACAAGGAGATACCATTTCACACCCACTAGAATGGCTTAACAACAACAACAAAAAAGGACAAGAACAAGCATTAGCAAGGATGTGGAAAAATTGGAGCCCTGATACATTGCTGGTAGGAGTCTAAAATGGTGCAGACGTCTGGGAAAACTGTTTGGCAGTTCCTCAAAATGTTAAACAGTTTACGATATGATCCAGAAATCCCTTTTCCACGTATATAGCCAAAAAAAACAAAAACATATGATTATACAAAAACTTGAACATAAATGTTCACAGCAGCATTACTCATTATAGTAAAAATGTAGAAACCATCCAAATGTCCGTCAACTAATAAATACATAAACAAAACGTGGTATGGCCATAAAATTGGATATTGACCATTCAGCTATAAAGTACTGATACACAGTACAACACGGATGAACCCTGAGAATATGAGAAAGAAGCCAGACACAAGAAAGATTAGTGGTTGTCTAGTACCAGGGGGCAAGGGGGGGAGGGAACAGGGAGTGACTGCTACTGGGTATGGAGTTTGCTTTAGGAGTGATTAAACATTCTAAAACAGAGAGTGGTGACGAGTGCACAACCTTGAGAATATAATAAAAACCAGAGAAATGTACACTTGAAAATGGAGAATTTCATGGCATGTGAACTGTATTTCAGATTTTTAAAAAAGATAAATATGACCCACTGGTATACCTGCTAAATATCCTATATTTTTACTACTTTATGTTTCATTATGGTTTTCTACTGTCATGCTAATCCTCACCGGCTGGGCAGGACCGTTTGCTGAGAGCGCCACAGCTGGGGAAGTGGCAGTTGTGATAACCCCTCCTGCCACTCTCAGCATTGTGGTTCCAGGCTTTGAGAGTTGTGAGGTGGCTGGCACAGACTTCAGTGTGCTATCAGATATTTTCATTAGCGATGCTTGTCCCCCAGGGGCTGCCTGCAGAAACAAAATGGGTTGAAGTAATAATGTTGCCCTGGTTCACAGGCACAATTTATTCTTTACCTATGCTGGGCCCAAGAATTAGAGCAGAGCCAAGAAAGAGTCACCATATGAGGTGTTTATGCACCTTTCCAATAAGCTCTCAAGTTTGACTTTTTACGTACAGATGTTCCTTTACCCCTAATGTAGAACAAGTAAATGAATGCATCTGCAAGCCACTATTTGGCAGCAGTGACTTCAAAGATACCAGGTCATGTGTTATCAAAATAACTGAGTCCAAAACACTCTTAAATGTATATGTAATCTTTAAACATGAAAATCTAAACAAGATGGGCCAGATTTAAATGGGTACATTAAGTGCTCCTGGCTAATACAGGCTGAGCATTTTACTACCATTCAACAAATTATAGTTTTAGTGGGTTAAATCAAGGCTCAGCAAATTTTTCCTGAGAACGGTATAAGCATGTACAGCATTGCAGGCCATATGGTCTTGGTTTCAACTCCTCAGCTCTACGTTATAGATGAAATGGGGGTGGCTGTGTGCCAGTCAGTTATTATTTATAAAAACAGGGAGCCTTGGGCATAGTGTGCGGACCCCTGGCCCAAATGACTGCTTAGTGCCCAAATTAATACACTCCACAAGCAGATACCATTCTTCAGTCCCCAAGGAGTTACTTTGTGTCAGGAATAGCAGAAAGCATTTTTACATACCTTATGTCATTCAATCTTTTCATAAACCTTATAGGGTAGATTTTAGTTTCATTTTACAGAGGAAGAGATTAAGCTCAGTAATTTTACCAGGGTCACACAGTAACTGGAGGGGCCATGATTAGAATCCAGAAGTAGCAGCCATGGCATAATTTGCACTGGAGTCTAATGCAAATTAAAACCACAATGAGGGGGCGCCTGGGTGACTCAGTCGTTAATCAGCTGCCTTCGGCTCAGGTCATGATCCCAGTGTCCTGGGCTTCTCCCTCTCCCACTCCCCCTCCCCCTGCTTGTGTTCCCTCTCTCGCTGTGTCTCGCTCTGTCAAATAAATAAATAAAATCTTTAAAAAATTTTTTTTAAAAGTTAAAAAAAAAAACCCACAATGAGATATCACTTCATACTCACAAAAACGGCTAAAAATAAAAGGAAGACAGTTCTCCATGTTGTTGAGGGTGCAGGACAACTGGAACTCTCTCACATTATTTATGGGAGCATCAAACGGTACAACCACTTTGCAACCAATTTGTCAGTTTCTTATAAACTTTCTTAGACACATATACTTACCCTAGGACCTAGCTCTTCTACTGTACAAGAGATCTACACAAGAATGTTCGTATCAGTATGGTTCATAATCAAAAACTGGAAATAATCCAATTGTCCATAAACAGGAGAATAAAAGTCATACAACAAAATACTACGTAAGAATAAACTACTGATACACATATGGATAAATCTCAAAAACATGCTGGAACAAAAGAAGCTAGACATGAAAGACTATATACTATATAATTTTACTGACATGAAGTTCAGGAACAGACAGAGATTAGCCCATCTATGGTGACAGAAACAGAAAAATGATGACTGAAAGGGAAATGAGGGTACGTTTTAGAGTGATGGACATGTTCTGTATCTTGATTGGGATAGTGCTTGCATGAGTTTACACACTGGTCAACACTCATTGAACAGTACACTTATGATCTGTGCATTGCTTTATGTAAATAATACTTATTAAAAAGCAACGGTAATTGTTCTGCTGTGGCTGAACAGGGAGAATGTCACTACACTGGCTGCAACCATAAACAGGTAAGAAGAAATAAGCTAAGATTTTAAAGAACTGCCTAAAGAATTTTGGGGCCTCATATCTGTTTAAATACTAAACACATTTGACCAAAGAGAAATTAGTACTCAAAGAAACCAAATACTATGAATATGAAAAGATCAATGATCAAGAAAAAAAAAGAGAAGATGCATAACTATCATAATCAAGAATGAAAGGGAGGGGGCGCCTGGGTGGCTCAGTTGGTTGAGCATCTGACTCTTGATTTAGCTCAGGTCATGATCTCAGGGTTGTGAGACTGAGCCCCACAGTGGGCCCCATGCTGGGCGTGGAGGCCTGCTTAAGATTCTCTCTCTCCCTCTGTCTCTCTCCCCTCAACCCCCCAATCCCCACTCAGACACACTTGCTCTAAAAAGAAAAAAGAAAAAAGAAAAAGAAATAAAAGGGGGCCATCACTAAAGATTTTACAGACATTAAATGGATAATAAAGGAAAATTAAGAATAATTTTATTCTAGTAAATTCAACCACTTAGATGAAATGGACACATTCCTTTAAAGGCATAACTTACCAAACCTCCCTCAATATAAAACAAACAACCTGAATAGTCCTGTATCTAGTAAATAAATTGAAATCGTAGTTAAAAACCTTCCCAATTAACAAGACTTCAGGCCATTATGGCTTCATTGGTATACGCTAAACAGTTAAGAAACAATACCAATTCTACATAAAATCTTCAAAACAAAGTGAACAGGAAAGAAAAGTTTCTAACTCATTTCAGGAGGCCAGCAGTACTCTGATAACAAAACCAGACAAGAATTACAAAGAAAACCACAAGTCAGTGTCAGAAACCCTTACAGAAATTCTAAACAAAATTTTGTCAAATGAAACCCAACAATACATTAAAACAGGGTAACATGTCAAAACCAAGTGGGTTTTCCAGTACAGGGCTGGTTTAACACTTTTTAAAAACATTTTTTATGTTTTTTAAGTAATCTCTATGCCCAATGTAGGACTCGAACTCATGACCCTGAGATCAAGAGTCACATGCTCCCCCAACTGAGCCAGCCAGGCACACCTTGGTTTAACATTTTAAAAATTAATGTAATTCACCATGTTAACAAAAAAAAGAAAAACCATATGATCTTCTCAATAAACACAGAAAAAACATTTGACAAAAATCCAATATCCACATTCCATGCTTTAAGAACTACTGATTTATACAAAGAGAAAATGCATTGTATTTGATAAATGGTATCATACTGCCTATATCCTTCCATACCTTGTTTGCTTTGTTTGGTAAATCTCTGAGATCTAGCTACAGATTCTCCCACAGGTGATTATGACATCCTTCACCCAGCTAAAATTCACAGTCATTATTCTTTGGCTTATACTAAAGAATGCTGTAGAAACATGTACCAAACCCCCTACAGCATTTACTTTTTACAGCTGGCCCTTGAACAACATGGGGTTTGAGCTACACAGGTCCACTAAGTGGGTTTTTTTGTTGTTGTTATTTTAAGAAGGCTCCATACTCACCTGGGGCTTGAACTCACAACCCTGATATCAAGAGTCACACACTCTACTGACTGAGCCGGTCGGGTGCCCCTATGGGTTTGTTTGTTTGTTTTTAAAATAAATACAGTAATAGTTCTGTAAATATTTCTTTTTCCCTATGATTTCTTAATAACATTTTTTCTCTAGCTTACTTGACTGTCAGAATAGAGTATATAATACATACAACGTACAAAATGTGTGTTAATCGACTATGTTTTCAGTAAGGCTCCTGGTCAACAGTAGGCTATTAATAGTGGAGGAAGTCCAGTTATGTGAATTTTCCACTGTGTTAGAGGTTGGCGCCCCTAACCCCAGCACTGTTCAAGGGTCAAGTGTATATGGATACTGTGGCTGTCATTAGCTATTATACTACTCAGAATCTCCTATAAGAAGTTCCTCCAGAGAAATTTTAGAATGAGTTATCAAGAAAATTTTGTTTCTTTCAAGGAAATATTATGTAGGTATTTTTTTTTTTGCCTCTCACAAATACTGTGAATTGTATAACTGATCGTGCTTCTGATTTGCTTTGGCAAATATTAATTATACAGGACATAACTGTTTGCATATCTAAGAACTCTCTGGCCTTATCTTCTCATTCTACTTATAATTTTCCCGAATCTCAAGATTTTATTCTTATTTTTCTATACTATTTTATTGTTCATTTTCTCATGCAACCTTAATTTCTTTGTGGAAAGAGATAAGCTGTAAATGTTTAAATAAATGCCATCACCACCCTGTATTTGGAGTATATGTGTGTGTATTTACCTGGGTAAACAAAGTGGTTTTCTGTCCAGAGATGACTTTTAATGTTTGTTGTCCTTGTGCAGAAGATGTGCTGACTCCCAGTGTTCCTTGGACCACTGACCCAGTAGTCAGCTGCTTTCCAGATGTCTGGGGTGATGGCTGACCAACTAAAAATGTACCCTAAGTTAGAAACAAAGAAGACCTACTCAGTAATTTCTTAAGTTCAAATGACTTGCCCTGACTCTTTAAATCACAAGGTACCATGTTACAAGCTATATATAATGCCCTTCTGTCAATTCTGCAACTCAGCCAAAATAACCGAAAAGAACAGCTCTCCACTCTCAGTGTCACTAGCAATAGCTATCCCCACTTCTGAAACTCGGCATAGTAGTTATGGAGGGGGCTGTTGGAAACTCAAGCTTTACAACCTAGTCCTTAAATCTGAATTATTCAGGCTGGTAACTACCCATCCTTCTCAATACGAACATCTAGACCAAAATTTCACGACCTTCCTTAGAGAGGCGTCAAGACTTTAAAAGCAGCGAGGGGGGGATGGCGCCTGGGTGGCTCAGTTGGTTAAGCGACTGCCTTCAGCTCAGGTCATGATCCTGGAGTCCCAGGACTGAGTCCCGTGTCGGGCTCCCTGCTCAGCAGGGAGTCTGCTTCTCCTTCTGACCGTCCCCCGTCTCATGCTCTCTCTCTCTTTCTCTCTCTCAAGTAAATAAATAAAATCTTTAAAAAAAAAATAAATAAATAAAAGCAGCAAGGGGAAAGAAGATAGAAACTTGTTTCTAATCATGAATCCAGCCTAATTCCAAATGCCAAAACTTGATAGTATCTCTTTGGTTACTCCCTTCCAAGAGAAAATTTTCAAGTGCCTATTAATACTATTCATTACCTCATGGATTTAGGAGGCAACAGCATAGCAAAAATTTTTCTTTGAGTCAGAAAGCTCCGGGTTTAAATCCAAATTCTAGAACGGGCTTAGCAGAGAGATCTTGGAAAAGTTACTTAAGTCTCTCTACATCCCCTTCTCTCAAAGCGAAACAAGCCCAAAATAATATAGATTTATAACGTGGCTAAAATGTTAGTACTGACTCCTGATCCCAGAGTCGTAAAGATAAATCCACTATAATTAAAGGCAGTTGTTAAATAACGAAAGGATTTGGAAGATACCAGTCACAAACGATCAGACCTGAGGAGTCTGCTTCAGGATGTAAGATGTGTAAGTCAGGTGCTGGGAGATCCCACCAGGGCCGGCGGGGTTCTGGGTGCCTCCTGTTCCTCCTCCTCCGCCTCCGCCTCCTCCTCCGCCTCCCGCAGCTGAGCCAGACTGGAGGTCTGAAAATACAACGAAATGACAGCAACTTCACAAGAAGTAGTAAGAGGCTTACCGGAAAAAACAGATGAGTCCAGAGTGACGTTCCCTTTACAGCAACATTCCTTCCCTTTCCTATGTTCTCCCCCCTTTCTGTGGTAATATACCTATTCTGCGACAAGAGTAAGGGGAATGTCGAGGCGCCTGGGTGGCTCAGTCAGTTAAGCGTCTGCCTTCGGCCCAGGTCATGACCCCAGATCCTGGGATCGAGCCCCGTGCTGGGCTCCCTGCTCAGCGGGAAGCCTGCTTCTCCCCCTGCCTACCACTCCCCCTGCTTGTGTTCTTTAACAAATAAATACATTAAAAAAATCTTAAAAAAAAAAGAGTAAGGGGAATGTCCTAGAATTAAGGACTGAAACTGATTTCCTTTCAACTGAAGGATAGCTGACTAGTTCAGCTCTCAGTACAATGAAGACTTAGCTTTAACAAGAGTTCTGACTTCGTTGTGGGAGACAAGAGTCTGATACTGACATTTTCTAACCAAGTGTTGACTAAAATGTGCTCAGAGAGAGAAGTGCTTCTAAACATTCCGGCATCTCATCCAATTTCAGTGACACTGCTCGAATTTAGTGCAATTTTACAGTACTCTCTTTTCTGTCTCCCTCTGCCCTGGAAAAAATGTGTTTTCCTCATATTGATACTGACTCCAGAGAATTTTTTAAATTCTATTTTAAAGCCTTTGGATCCTCTTTACTTCTCTTTTGGTGACATAATGTACATAAACTAAAACCTGAGTGGCTCTCTGGGTGAATTATGGAATCCTTACATTGTCCTTTTCTTACGTATTTCATTTTTATATACCACTGCTTAGGTAAGAAGGAAAAATGCCAGGGTGAGAGAACAGAAATCACCCATTACAGTCAGTAAACAAAATGGTGACTAGCTCACACGCTACATTTGGCAAGGGCGGCTCATTTCTAGTGAACCTAATTGCTATACCAATTATACTTGTGATTCAGAGGGAAATAATTCCTTTTTCCCTTTCCTTTCCAGCACTATCCAAATTGTTTTTCTCTATATGTCAAAGCAAAAGTTTGTAAGTCTAGATAAACCACCTAATTTCCTTGGGGTTTTAAGGCTTATACACTATGGTTGACCCTGTATTTTTCTTTCCATCTCTAAACCTGGCTAACTTAAGATGCACATCTAAATAATGGCAGGGAGAGATACTTGATTCTACTCCTACTCCTATCCCCTCCAAAATAAACGAACATAGGCTTCCAGCTACCGTCTCCCCAGGTATCCCCAGCTTTTAGATACCACTGAAAAGAACGCTTTCATTTACAGCTCACACGGACAGCTCTCTCCCAGCACAGCCTCAGTAACCATCCCTCTCCAGTGTGATTTCTTCCTGACCCCAAACTCTGAGTGGATAAACCCAAAATAGCAGTGTCACCTCCTAGGACTATGATTATTTAAACCCTTCTAGTTATGTGTATGTTTTACATCCATGTGGGCAAATACAACCATCATACTACCACACAGAGCTAGGGAAACGCGTCCTGAACAGGTAAGAGCTGCCCCTCGGGTGGATGAGATGAACACAGAACCAAATGATTTAATGACTGACTAGCATTGTTGGTAGCTCGCAGGATGGCTCCTTGAGGGATCAGCAGCAGTTTCCCTTTTCCTGAAGGGTTCTTGCTGTTCGTTGTAAGGTAGAGTTTAGTGCCAGGAGGCAAATTTGCCAAGTTGGCCAAATTAGTGGCTGGTAGCTGCAATGTTGCCATTACTAAAATGATAAAGGGAAAAAAGAAAAAAAATAAAGAGGAAAAACAGTAAGGTAAATTGGAACTGAGGGCAATGCTATTGCTAAAATTAAAAACACAGATTAGTAAAATACTTATTAAAAAACACAAACTTCAGTAAAACTCCAGTTTGTTTTCCTAGATACATAATACTTAAAAGGCTGATATTCTTAAATATCTTGCTAATCAAAAAATAATTTACATACTAGAAGAGCTTGCTATAAATTACAAAGGAATTTATATTTGTACATAAACAGGATGACCATATGCCCCAGTTTGCCCAGAACAGTTCCAGTTTACACCTGTGTCCCATTTTTACACCTATGTCCCAATCATTATGAACAGTGACTCTTTTTACTCTCAAAAGTACTATGGTTGAGACAATCAAAGAAATAATAACCTTATCTATGGATGAATATATATTTCCTCCTGAAATCTGTTTAAAGCCCCTTTAATCAATTTCTAGTAATGAATGAATCTATGGATTTGAAACAAGACTTCCAGCCTCTCTCACTTTCTAAGAACTAAAAAAATGCCATAATCAACAACTGGCACGTATACTATGAAATGATCATTCACCTTTTTAAAGTCTCACCTATGTCAAAGGGCTTTCGCGTATTTCTTAGAATATACTTCTCGATTGCACATGGCTGTAAACCTCTAAACGTGACTCTTCAGTGAAAACTTACACATCAAAATTTCTGCAGTTACTCTGAATTCAAATCTCCATGAAATGAAGCCTACAGAACCACGTGCATCACCACAGGCAAAGAACTCACAGAGCCGCCTCCAGCCAGCTGCACGAGTCCTCTTCCTCAGGACCCCTTTACTGTGCAAGCCTGGGGAAGCAAGAACCCTGGAAGCTGCCCCAGAACAGCAGAGACTGAAAACTGAGCGCCAGCGCTCTCCAGCACTGCCACAACTCATCCCACCTCACACCACTGTGCAGCTCAGCAAATCTCTCGGGCCAGTCACCAGCACCTGGAGTCCAGCCCCTCGTTGCTCTGCGTTCCTGATCTGAACCCACCTGCTCAGCCCTTCCTCCTCCTCCAGCTCTTTCACCGCACCCCCAGGAATTCCTGCTGTGGTCATTACACCCTCTAGAACCTCGACCTGTTGGAACGCTATCTCTGTTTGTGGTAATTAACACTGAGTCCTCTGAAAATATAGGACTTCCCCAGCAGCACCCTTAGCTAAAAGCTGTTTTTTGAATCTTACCTCAGTGTCTGAGGGCCAGGACTAGGGGAGGAGCCTCTGTGCTCTCCAGTGAGGCTTTCAGACCATTATCACCCTTCATTCCAGAAGAAAAAACCTGCTGGCTCCTGTGCGGTTCATGCTTGGCTCTACCACCTTACCCCTCACCTCTCTGCTCTCATTTACTGAACTCCCAGTCACTTCCCCTCACTTGCTGAAGACTGACTCCCGACTCAGTCTTGCTCTAACGCCAACCATGGTCATCCTCAGTGACAGCACTGTAAGTGACCTGTTTAATTCTCCGGCTTCTCAGACACTTCATCTTCTAAACTCCAAAGATCACTTCCTCCAACCCATCTGAAGCACTCTTTTCTAAATTTTATTTTATTATGTTATGTTAATCAGCATACATTACATCATCAGTGTTTGATGTAGTGTTCCATGATTCATTGTTTGCGTGGACTTTGTCATCACCAACAATTCATCACCTCTGAAATCTTTATTTTGGACATCCACTACCTTCTTTCTCTTTTTTCTTCTGAACCTATTTTATTTTTTATATAAAGTTGATTTTGGTTATTCTTTCAATTTATTACTTGGTTTCTACATTTTCTTTTAAAATTTTTTTATTCAAGTATAATTAACATACAGCATGAGTAGCAGATGTACATTATAATGATTCATCCACTACCTTCTATCCTTCTAACTCACTGCAACAATTCTTTAGCCTCATTAAGACCTTCAAAAATCAGTAAATGTATCTAATGTCTTAGGTATACTTTTTCATGCCCTCATAGAAACAACAAACACATGCAAGGTGTTTAAACTTATTTGGTAGAGAATGCATTAGTCAAGTATCTCAAAATGCTGCTGACAAACGACCATCCCAAGAATTTAAGTCTGAATACAACCCAAAGTGGAGATATGGTCAAATGAAAATTATCCTTGAGACCTGAAAGCAGTAGCAAGAAATACCCTCTATTTTTATTGCCCTTGCTAAAACACACACACACATACACCTACTTACAGACCTCTATGTAAAATGTTACCCGGAAAAGATTAACATGTTTTTATATACTTGCTATATAAACCTAACAGGTTTTCTTACAACCAAATCAAACCACTAGCAAAGAACAGTCTAGAAGGAGCTGCTGCTGAAAGGGCCCCCAACAGTATCAGGTACCTGAGCCCTGCGATGCAGTCTTCTGCGGGCCGGCAGCAGTGACCTGCGCCTTGGTTAAGGCTTGCACCGGCTGAGCAACAATGGTTCCTCCACCTCCGCTCACAATGGCTTTGGCAACTCCTTGGGTCACAACTTGCTTTGGACCAACTGCTTTGGCAACAGAAGAGCTGGCCTTGGCTACAAGGATTTGGCCACCACTGATTGCCACAGCCTGTTTCACTGTTGAAGGTAGAGTAGACCCAACTGGCACCCCAACAACCTGTTGAAAATAGAGGAGAATCCACCAGTGCTGCTTCTCAGTCCTTTCAAGGGCTCTTAGAACAGTCACTCTGTTCTAGCAAAGATCAAAGCAAAGCCCTAGGTATAACTCATGGAGCCTAATTTAATTGTCTAGGAATGCTACCTATGACAGATGTGAACAACAGTATTTCTTACATTTGGGGTATTACTAAAATAAAAGGCTTTTGTCTTAACCCCAGCTACTATCTAGAACTTACCTTATGTGTTTTTCAATAAAAAACTTAGAAAATACAGGAATACAAAGAAAAAAATTCTACTTATCCAGAAATAACCTCTTATTCTTTAATTTTTTTTTTTTTTTAAGTAAACTCTATCCCCAAGGTGGGGCTTGAACTCATGACCCCAAGATCAAGAGTCACACGTTCTGCCCAACTGAGCCAGCCAGGCACCCCCAGAAATAACCTCTTAATATTTTTAATATGTTTGCTTCCAATTCTTTTTAATATACATTTTAAAACACAGATGAGGATCGCCATGTACAGATTTGTAATTTTTAAATTTAACATCATATTACAGGCATTTTCCAATGTTACTGTTTTTCAAAGACATTTTTAGACGGCCAAATATATTAGAACAGATATACCATAATCTATGCAAACATTTCACTAGTGTGTGGATATCCAGGTAATTTTAAACTTCACATTAAGAAAAACTGCAATAGGGGCTCCTAGGTGGCTCAGTCAGTTAAGTGTCTGTCTTCAGCTCAGGTCATGATCTCAGGGTCCTGGGATCCAGCCCCGCATTGGGCTCCCTGCTCAGCAGGGAGTCTGCTTCTCTCTCTCCCTCTGCCCTCCCCGTTCGTGCATGCTCTCTAACAGATAAATAAAATCTTAAAAAAGAAAAGAAAAACTGTGCCATAAACATTCCCATATATGAACTAGAAACTCCACTACATACTTTTAAAGATCATCTCTCTTAGTAACCACTCCTATATTATCCCCATCTGAAACGCCTATTTCTTCATCTCTAGAACTCTTAACAATTCACGTCATTTATTACGTAGTGTAACATGTGACACTTCTTCCAACTGATTTTTAAGAAAAGTTATATTTTTCTCTATACTTCTAATTTTTCCTTTCCTTAAAGGGAAACATTTGGTTAAAAAAGAAGTCTAGGGGCGCCTGGGTGACTCCATCGGTTAAGCGTCCGACTCTTGATTTTGGCTGGGGTCATGATCTCACGGTCATGGGTGCAGGCTGCATGGGGCTCTGCACTCAGTCGGAAGTCTGCTTCTCTCCCTCTCCCTCCGCTCCTCCCCTACCAGGTGCACGCGCGCACACTCTCACATGCTCTAAAATAAATCAGTAAATCTTAAACAAAAAAAAAAGGGGGGGGCACCTGGGTGGTTCAGTCGGTTAGGCGTCTCCCTTCAGCTCAGGTCATGATCCCAGCGTCTTGTGATCGAGCCCCACATCAGGCTCCCCGGGGAGTCTGCTTATCCCTCTGATCCTCTCCCCTCTTGTACTCTCTCTCTCAAATAAATAAAATCTTAAGAAAAAAAAAAGTCTTAAAAAAAAAAAAAAGACCCCAAAACCCAGATTATGCAAGTTGGAAATATCTGGTTCTGATAATTTAAAGTGAACTCTTTCGGGGCGCCTGAGTGGCTCAGTCGGTTAAGCGTCTGCCTTCAGCTCAGCTCATGATCCCAGGGCCCTGGGATTGAGCCCCTGAGCAGAGAGCCTGCTTCTCCCTCTGCCTGCCACTCTGCCTATCTGTGCTCTCTATCTCTCTGTCAAATAAATAAATAAAATCTTAAAAAAAAAAATAAAGTGAACTCTTTCAAGTAAGAAAATACTATAGAACTCTTTTAAAAGTCAATAGTAGGATGTTAAATTAGAAGAAACAATTTAATTAACGGCAAATTGGGGTAGTGTTTCCCACTTCTCAGTTATTTCATAAAAAGAACTTCTCACCAGAAACTAGATGAAAAGACTTTTATAAGGTTAAAAGAATACAAAAAGATCTACCTTCTAAAAGTGAAAATGATAAAGTATTAGTACTTTTCACCCATCAGATTGGAGATAAGAATTTAAGTCTGGTAACACCAAAAAGTGGCTGGAGGGTATGAGGAAACAGGAACATCTGTACACTGCTAAAGAAAAGTAAATTTGTATAGCCACTCCCAAGAGGTACCGGCATATCTACTAAAATTGAAAATTCACATATCTCATGTTGTAACAATTCCTCTTTTAGAAACATATCCTAGCGAAATCTTAGACATGTGCTCAAGGGAACATATACAGAATGTCCAAGGTAGCACTATTTATAATTACAGAAAATTGTCAAAAAACATAATATCTATAACATGTAACAACATGCTTAATGTCTACAGGTAGAGGAATGGATAAACTGTGGTATAAGACAGTCAGTGGAATAGCATTCATTAGTAAAAATGAATGAAGCAAAACTACATAAATCAGGAGCAACAAACTTTGACAGTACAAATACTGAAAGGGGAGCTGCAGAAATTTATGAGTATAAATATCTTTTATGTAAATCTGCAAAACACACAACATTTCATGTTATTTATGGCTATGGATTTATGCAATAAAAGTATGAACTGGAAAGCTACACATCCAAATTCATGATAGTGCTGCTTTTGGGAAAAACAAAATGGACTTCAACTCTGTCATGTTTCATTTGGGGAAAATATGAGATGAAATCAATACGAACATGTCAATTTTGGGTGGAGGATACATGGGCACTGATTATATTCTCTGTATTTTACTTTAGAATCTTTCTAAATTAAAAATAATAGGATTACCAATAATAACAACAATAGGATTACCTAAGTAGAACAAAATGATAAACCATATGCAATTGATAAATGGAACTTATAAGTTAAATAATTACTAAATCATACATCGTTTCTTTTCAAAGAATGTAAATACAGTAAAATACACTTGCCATGTGCTTGGACACTATGGCTAATATAATGAAAATGGTCCCCTAATCAACTATTATAAACCACAGTATAATAACAGAAGAAAGAGTGCAGGATTTTATAAGCAGTCAGACTTGGTTTCCCAGTTTTGTTCCACTAGTTAGGAGCTGGATAAGTTATTTAATGTTTCTGAGCTTTAGCCTTTGACACCTCATATATAAAATATGGATAATATTTATCTCCTAAGAGATGATGTACACAGTAAATGACAGCTACGGCTGCCCACGACACTTGTTATTATCAACCGAAGAACAGTAATCTATGAGGCTACATGGAGACTCAAAGGATAGAAAGCGCCAAGTGGATCCATGGTTGGTTAGGGCAGAGGACCTTCATTGTAAATCCTAGATTCATTTAGTCTAATAGAAATTAAAGTATGTAACATCTGGTATCTGCTTTAAAATATCCTAGGAAGAGAAATAAGATTAGCAAAATGCTGATAATTATGGAAACTGGGTAACAGGCATATAGGATTCATTATAATAGTCTCTCTACTTTTATGTACATTTAAGGAAGGAGGGAAAGAAAGAAGAAAAAAAAGACTCAAAGAACCAATGGGGAAAAAAGCAAGTTAACTTAGAATGGAAAAGAAATCCTCCCACTCTCCTGGCTTGGTTAAAACAATCCCTTAGGATGATCCAAATCTCTCTATTTTGACTGTATGAGCCTTATTCTGCAGGCAACATGGAGTGTTGCTGTGACCACAGAGCTGGGCACAGTCACGCCCCCCACACACACCAGATGTGGAGGTAGAAAAACTCTTTTTAATCAAGAACTTTGCCCCGCATCAGGCTCCCTGCTGGGTGTGAAGCCTACTTAAGAGTCTCTCTCTCCCTCTCCCTCTGCCCCTCCCCCCGCTCTCTCTCTCTTTCCAAAACTTTTCTATGTATTTATGGAAAAAAGATTTCTTAATGTAGAAAAACTTTGGGTAATGGCAGAAAGTGCCATCTGAACCCTGATATCCATTCTTTGTTTTCTCTCTCATGGTAAGAGAGCCCCCAGTTTTCAGCTAGGGACATGGCCACATAGAACATTTCCCAGCCTAGCATTGGTCATCTCATACTGGCTAAAAGGACAGGAAGAGACGTGATCACTGCAACTTTTGGGTTATGCCTCCCCACACCCCCTTTCGTCTTCCTGCTGGCCAGAAATGCGAACATGGTGGCATGAAATGAAATGGCTATCGCAGTCCACAAGCTGAGAACCAAATTTTGGGAATGGCAGAGGGAACAAGATAGGAGTCTAGATTCTTGATGATTGTGAAGCCAACATACTAGAACTGCCTACTGGTCTTTTATGTGTGAGAAAAAAACTTATTTAAGCTTTCTGGGCTTTGGATTTCTCTATTATAGTAGTCAAACTTTTTTCTGAGACAGTCTTCACATTTCCTAAATATATCAAACTTAATAATTTACTGCATAAGCTAAATTACATAATTTATTTTCATGTTCCTAAGCCAACAAAGAAAGCAAAAAATCTTAAAGGAAAATACATATGGATTGGACCTATTTTCTTTTCTGAAATTCCATGCATGTTAATTTGCTTCTTCCACCTGTACCAACCTCTATCCTCACTTAACTGCTTCAAAATTTCCAGAATATGACATACTTAATCTCTCCAAGAACTAAATAAAATGTGGTATCCCAAGTTGGCCACAGGAGGGCAGTTCTTATTAGCAGAGCTCATCCAGTAGAGCATACCACTCACAAGATTAACCCCCACCTCCTCTGTTTGAAAAAAGGGAGAATGAGGAAGCCTGGCATTCTACTGGGGAAAATCCTACGCACAGCTGTCTACTGACATCATAAAGAAGACTCTTAAGTAGGACACTACAACCCCAAATTAGTTTTTCTTTTTTTAACAAGACAATATTTTAGCCCAGAACCTGAACTCTTCCCATTCCACAGCACTTCTCTCTGCATGCCTTATTTCCTTCTAGCTTCACAAAACAGACACCCTTTGTTTTCTATTGTTATAAATACTTCCCTTTGACTCATGCTTTGATTCAATGTTTTTGTTTGTCCTCTGTACAGACTTCTGCAAGTCAGAACTTACTTTAACAACCAGAAAGTGAGGATTCTATGTGTGTAATTTTTCCTCCAGACACTGAAAAATATAGCCAATTACAATTTAATACTCGATGAGAAAATAGATCATGGTACTCCCGTATATTTACACAGGATTTGTCCTTAGTCATGTAACATTAGCTGTTATCATTTATTGAGTACTTGCTCTGTGCTAAGTCCTTTCCATACAATGGTTTCTAATTCTCCTACAGCTCTGAAAGACAGAGGGTATTATTCCCTTTTACTAGATGGAAAAACACAAGGTTCAGAAAGACAAACCCGCCCAGGTCACGCAAGTAATGAGTGGCTGAGATCTGTTAACAGGCTCTCATTCCAAAGCTCACACTCTTTTTACTATGCCACACTGCTTCCTTCCCACACGAACCCACTAAGTGCTCAGATGTCCCGTTTTATGGCAAAAGCACCCCTCTTTACTTTCATGAAAAAAGATAAGCCGAAGTTGAATAGAAGGTAAAACAGTATCGTTTTGTTCACGCTTCTGTTTTCTGGCATAGTTTCTAGGAATGCACTTCGGCAATAACCAGGGACAGTCTGTACTTGCAGACAGCTCCTTATCTGGAGTCTAAAGCATGTACTAAATTTCCTGGATAAACAGGAAATGTCTTTTCTCATGCTCTCCTGTTTCTGTATATTTCTTTCACCCTCTTCTGTGGCTTTTCAAGTGCCCTTAAACTTTATTCAGGGCATTCTAGCACAAAACCATCTAATTTTTCTTAGTCCAACAATGCCATTAGGTAGGTGGCAATGTGACAAGAAAGCCAATACAGTTGTTCAGCATTACGGAGGAGTGGATTTGCAAAATGCAAAGTGTAAAAAAGTGAAACTAACTTGTCCAGAGCTTCTGAGCATAAACAGCAAGGCTATACTGACTCAAAAACCTAACTCAGTGAGTCCATGTATCTTTCTTTGGTAAAGCAAAATAGATTCTAAAGAATTATGATGTGTCTGAGTAGCAAGTCCAGATAACAATAACTGATTCATGAAAGGACTTTGACAAAGGCTTACCCATAAAGCCAAAACAATAGTGAGAGCATTAGGAAGCAGTTGGGGGTACCTGTCTTAATGATTCGGGGTAGGGAAGCCCCAAAGTCAAATTTGATGCTATAGCTTACTGGTTCCTAAATCTGCCAAATCACATGAGTCAGCAGGAGAGCTTGATAAAAATCCAGATTCCCAGGGCCCCCAAGAAGATTCTGATTCAGAAAGTTTGAGATGGGGGTCTCAGTATCTATATATTTTTAATCATCAGATGAGTCATGACCAGCTTAAGTTTGGGAAAGTAGTTAGTGGACTCTTATAGTAGAACCATACAGGTTTTAGAACTATAACATATGAATTTTTGTCATAATCCATGTGCAGCTATCTAGCCTAAACCAAAATACCTGAAACCATTTTTCTATATTAAAGTATTCCTCTCAAAGCAATTCATCCAACTCTAGGTAGGCTGGCTTTCAAGTTGAAAAACAAACACCTCACATAATATTCTTGATGGCTTTAGAATATATCTGCCCCCCAAATAAGATAATTTAACTCTGTATGTTCTAAAAGCATGCTTAGGTTCCAGACAATAGCTCACAAATTTTAATTAGCTCTGCAATGGAAGATTTTGGAGTCAGCAGACCTCGGTTCAAATCCTGTGTCACTTATTAGCTAAATGCCCTCAAGGAAGTTGCCTCACCTCGCAGAGGACAGTCTCCTCGTTTGTAAAATGGGGTTGAGAGTATCCACCCTGCAAGGTTGGATACATGAGGATTACTGATGGTGTGTAAATGCTAACAGGACACAGACAGGCTCTCATAAGCACAACCAATGCAGGAAAACATGGACCTATATGCCATTTTACAGTTTTCTTGATATATTAGTTCCCCACACTTCCAAATTATAAAGCAAATGAATTCTCTAAAGAGTCAAGAATCAGTAAACAGATGACACAGCCTGGACATCAGAAGTATAAACTACAGCACTCACCTACCAGAAATAAATAAAATAGCAGACGTTGGTCCTGTCAGCTACCCATTTTACACTTGAATCAACTGGAAGTTGTGTCTGTGAAGTCTAACATCTTCACTGTTAGAGAGATAACACAGCATCTCCTTGCCTCTTCGACTGTTCCTGGATCCTCTGTAACACAGGCCCTGCTCTTGTCACTGAGTACTGCAAGAGCAGATGTGTTTAGCACTGTCTAACTTGCTTTTCCAACACGGCTTCCATCTACAGGATTTTCTGGGATCAGCAACCCTGTCATCTGAATTCAGCACCTGCCTGTTACTTAGGCAAATAAAGTTCATTGACATATTAACCTCCCCAACACTATCCAACACAAACCTTGGAGGGCTGAATCTTTGGTGACTGGGAAGTCCCTTCTCCAGCAGTTAGGACCTGTTTTTGAGGGGACACAGCTATCATGTGACCCCCTTTCACTGTCACATACTGAGGGAGTGGTGACTGGCTGGCAGCTCCTGTTGTTGGCACGTGAGAGGCTTCACCAGGTTCCTGTTTGATGATTACCTGGCAACAAACATGATAATGATGCTGAGTAATCATCCCACAAAAAAAGCCCGGGGCGCCTGGGTGGCTCAGTCGTTAAGCGTCTGCCTTGGGCTCAGGTCATGATCCCAGGGTCCTGGGATCGAGCCCCGTGCTGGGCTCCCTGCTC